AAACTTATACAAAACTAAGCTATGCCGATTTTTGTAGAGATACTACCTATTCTGGTGGTACGATTGTATGCTGCTTCCTTGGGCCAAGAGAAAAGTACGATCTCGGAATTTCTAATAAAACCCGATGGCAAACTCATAGAAAATAGTAGCGAAACACTAACTTTCGGGGTTATATGGATGAAAAGATTAAAAGTTCAGATTTAAAGTTACAAGTCCTCCAAATCCTTTAAGTAAATTACTAAGTATCTGGCAAGCAATGTCGTTTAATGCTGTGCTCTTTATATAGGGATCAAGCCATCCAACATATTTGTTAATTTTGTAGAAATTCAATGCCATTCACTTCTCAAAATGTCTTCTCATTGCACTCATTCACTATCCGAACTTTGTTGGGATTAAAAATTCTTAAAAAAACTAAGTTTTTCTTTCTGTGTAAAACAATAGCAACGGTTATAAAAATAACATAAAATATCTCAAGAAAAATAAACCAAAAGCTTAACCAACAAATATTTACATAATGGCCTTCGTCAAGCATTTGCATAGTACAAGTTTGTTGGCAGACGAACGAACAGACAGACATACCGACAGTGAAGCCAAGGAATCTACAAAACATTGTCACTGACGTAAAGCAACGGGAATGGTTAAAGAATAGAAAAGGGGGATGCTGCTGTATTTATCATTTCATCAAACCAATAAATAAATGTTGCATATTGCTTTTTGTGGCTGACATTTGTTTTGAGATTTCAAATTATTTTATTATTATTTTAGTTTCGTAGTTCTTTTTTTTATTTGATTATACTCCCCATCCGTAGGATTTTTTATCTATGTATCAATTTGTATTTGCCACTATCACCACTTGACTGCTACTTACATATTACATACATGCATGAGCATGCAAACGTTCCATTATATAATAAAGATGCTTTATTGTTACTTTTTCTATTTATTGACAACTGCATTTGATTTGGAAAGGGATGGGATTCAAATGTTGTTGAGTGTTGAATTTTCTGTTGATGATTTTGTTGTTCGAATGTTTTTTTTTCAGAATTGAGTGCTGAATGCCGTTTGAATGTGGATAAGACAAGGAAACCTGTTGCATCATAAAAACGATTTCAATAAGAGTTTGAACATTCGAATGTATTACATACTTTTATATATATGTATATGTATTGCAGTTTTTATGTATATGTATCTTGATTATGCAGCAATACTGTGAATCCTTACACTACTACTTCCCAATTGGTCAGGTAATTTTGGGTCTCTGCTCATAGAGACTACTATGGAAGTGAATAGGCAGAAGATCTAGCCAAAACAGGTTCTGCTTTGGATATCTCCAATGCTGTTTCAGTAGCAACATCATTGAGGTTATTAGAAGTAGAACCGTTAGGTTCTTTCTTCAAAATTCTGAAAGCAGTTGGAATAATCTGGATACGTGTAGAGGGTCTATACTAATCCGATAATAACTGGGCACTGGATACACTGGAGGTAAAAAATGCCAATTGTTTTGGGATCTGCTTTAACAAAATCTGTAGTAGTTGCAAGAATAGGTATAAAGAAATAACTGGTTTACACCTTAACTTCGATTACCTTGTTCTAGTTGTCAAAAGGATTATATTTCTGAAAAGTACATAGATCCAAACTTTACGACCTATTGAGATCTCACTGCTACAGTCTGTATAAATAACATCCGTCTGATGTATCGTAGACATCAGATGGATGTTATTTATCCACCCACTGTCATTTTTAAGATAGATGCGACCTTATATAGAACCTACTTAGAGCTAGGATTACAGAAAATTTCTTCAATCCCTATAATATCATTGATTATTGTATCCCGGTATCTTTTATTATGAAGTACGATTCCTTTTCCTCCAATTCGGAATGTTTCTGTGCTTACATATTCAAAATATTAAATATGGTTGGTGGTGTCATCTTCATTGAAGAATTTCGGGACAAATATCTCTTTTAGACTTAATGACGAATGTAATATTATTCAAATGAAATGTTAGCGACTAAGAATGCGGCAAACTGGATGAACTACTAACATATATCTAATAGCAATATCAGAATCAATACTGACAGTTAAGCAGCTATCAAATATCTAATCGTTGCGCGTTTCGCATTTTAACTAGTCCATGTGCCTCTGTAAATGAGGTGGCGAGACATTCGAACATAAACCTAATATGTGGAAAGATACACAGGGATAATGATATCAATTATATTGCTGATAACTTGGCTAAAGCGGAAGCACTGCTTAGTGAATTAGATATAGACCAATTTTGTGATGTTATAATTCTAGCCGTCAAGAATCATATTTCAAAAATATGTTTTATTAAAGCTCAAGACCAATGTTTATAAGGGCCTTCTTGCGCTATCACTAGTTCTTTAGATCTCAATTAAGTACCTTGATATCAGTTACTTGATATCATTACTGGTCATTGTAGATTCGCCAATCGTGCTGGACGCGTAAAACTCCCATATAATGACTTCTGTAGAAGCCGTCGAAATGAAAATGAGCTAGCACAACTTTTTTGATGATAGTCCTGATCTGTGTCGTTGCTTACGCGAACGATGTTGTGATACTTGTATGTTCAGGAATGTTCTCAGAAGTTATTAGCGATATTATGTCTAATGCTCTGGTGCTACTCAGTAACTGGGCCACATATAGCGGCCTAGGACTAAACCCAAGCAAGACAGAACTGGTGCTTTTCACAACAAAGACCAAGATTCCAAGCTTCAACTTGTCGCGGTTAAAGATCTGCGAAATCCCCTTATCAAGAAATGCTAAATATCTAGGAATTACCCTAGACTCCAAATTACCATGGAAACTTAACATCAAGAAGGCAACGGTCGCCCCATTTGGTTTGAAATGGGGGCTTAGTCCCAACATAGTTAAATGGATGTATACAGCCATAGTACGTTCTATTCTTATATACGTATCTCTTATATGGTGGACTTCAACTAAGAAGAAATTTGTTGTAGATCAGCTATATAAAGTTCAGAGATCAGTTGCAAGTGCTCTAAGAACTAGTCTTTCAGAAGCTCTGAACACTATATTGTACATACTACCTATAGATCTGCATATCTGCTTTCAGCGCAACGAGGCTTAACACATCTGGAAGTTGGAGATGAAGAATATATTAACACGCTAAGATTTTAAACCTATTTCCTCCAATCTTGCACCAACCATTTGACTATATTACCCTACACACGCACATTGATAGAGTTTTCAAAGTTAGAGTTCCTTCTAGGAGCGAGTAGTGTATGGGTTACCTACCGAGTGAATATACCACCAGAATCTTTACAAATGGTTCTTAAATGAACTGCGGTATTGGTTCTTGTGTCTTCTGTGTAGAAGCTGGAGAAAGTATATCTTACCGTCTTCCCAACAACTGAAGTATTTTTCAGCCTGAAATATTTGCGATAACATCAGCCTGTAGAGTACTACATGATCTCAATATTCGTGGCAACATAGAAATTTTTGTCGACAGTCTAGTGGCACCTCTTTCCCTAAACTCCTATACTACCATTTCTCGATTAGTCAGCCAATCTAAAAAGGATTTGTAAAGGCTGGGTCGCCTGTCTGACATTTATGGAAATGAACAGGCAAATTAGCTTGCCAGAAAGGGATCTGCTCTTGATATCTCCAACACCGTTTCAGTAGCAACTCCGTTAGGTTTTATGAAAAGCAGTATCCTCATATTCTTTTTCCAAAAGGCTGAAAATTTATGGAATAATTTAGACACATGTAAAGGGGGGAAGTTATTGTGGCCTTCTTTCAATGAGAAACCCACCTTATAACCCGAAGTAGACGGGATATATCGAGATTGATAGCGGTAATAACAGGAGACTCGATGCCAGGCAGACTGCAAGTCGTCTGGAGCTCCCCTTTAACGATTACTGTCACAGTTGCAAAGACAGGGAATAGGAAGAAATGGGCTTCATTCTTCTCTGTGAATGTCCTGCTCTTGCCGTTAAGAGATATCTGGGTCTAAGCTTAATAACATCTTGAGATTTCTTACGGCTACAGGCTGGATCTAATACTATATAATACTACATCTGACGAGTGGAGTGGTCTGGTCAAAAGGAAGTATCTTTGACTTTACTTGACTGTTCGCGCGCAGTGATCTACCATGATAAACAACCAACCAACCTGACTGTGTGTAGATCGGGAACGACCACTGAGAAGAGCCTATTACTCAGATCTTTTTGATCTTGTGAACGTTCAATGAGATCGTATGATAGCGTTTTTAACGCATCTAAATGGGTATAATAATATGAAATACCAGAAATAGGCATAATTCAGTATTTTCAATAAAATGTTGTCAAACTGATTATAAAAGGACTCAATTTGGATGTGAAACTTTGTAATCTGTTTCAAGTGAGAGCCCTTGTTTACATTATAACCAATTGGGAAAAGGCATAAGAATTCAAGGCTATCCAAATATCTGCAAAACAAGATTCTCTTTTAGTCCTTCTAGTATTAAAACCATAATTGATCAGTAAATATTAAATATTATTTTTGAGAATAACTGACTTCTGAATTTGTACTTTATTATAATTGATCATTAAATGCGCCCTTTAGACATATTTTATTGTCATGAATTTAATCATAGCTTTAACCCTCAACATTTTTAATATGAAAATTATTTACGCTATATAAAATTATAAACACACTTTATTTAAAGATTATCCTGGGCCATCAACAATTACGTCGTAGTCATCGTCTTTTATTGACATGTTAATTTTTCAACATTTAACACATTTAACCTTCTTTCTACCCTAATTGGTTGCACAATGAAAATCCACCTCTAGGTCATAAAGAACCAACAAAAAAAAACAATACACTCTAGATAAAAATTGAATAAACGTTGACACATTTAATTCAATCATTTGAGATTCTCGTTTGAGTGCAAGGAGCAAGGAGCAACAGTAACTCTGGCTGTTATTTACAATTTAAAATAGTACGAGTATGTACGAGTAATAAAACATGTTTAGCATAAATTAAATTCAACTAACCGGGTACGTAATAGTATGCTTCCATTCTCTAATATGCTTATAAATGAAATTTAATCATTCACTTTTTGCTTGAAGCTTTGATAAAATATTATTTTTTTTATATTATTAATCAGCCCCATTCTGTAATACGAAAATTAAGAGATCTTGTATTTCCACAAGGAATAATACAACTATGGGTAGGACTTCTTAAATCCAATGGGAATTCATGATAAGAAGCCTCTTCAGAATGAATAAATCCGAGTTAGTTGATCATATTTATTCTTGGTGGGCACACAGGTTAATAGACGCTGGAACACTTACTCAGTCCCAAACCAAAGAAGTACAGAAATACTGTACATCCATCACAATTCCGTTAACTCCTTCAGTTTCTAGACCCCACTAGAAACCTCTATTAATCGAGATTATAATAACACTAAGGTGACAGCGGATTACCTAAGTAATTGCCTCCGAGGGCTTTGATTTATGATCAAAATTATAACAAATCTGACCTCTAAGTTTAGGGCAAACTTTGATGAAAAGCAGTTTTAGATTTTGAAGGCCTTAGTAGATCTTTCAGAAGACATAAGCAATTTTATAAATAAAGGCGAATTCGCGTTGTTACAACATCTTGAATATGGCGAATACAGCATTTCGTCAAATTTTATTTAATGGACACATTGGAAGGCTATATACTATATAACATCGGACATGCCCGATCTCATACCAGATACAAAATATGTCGGAACTTTGACACACTGATCCCAGATACAATGTCATGGTCAAGCGGAACGTCATTGCTACACTGATGGCTCTAAATTAGAGGACAAAGTCTTCTATATTGAAGACCCGGAAAGGGACTCATAGTTAAAAATATGGTTGAAAGAATACTAGAAGGCTGCTAGGAATATTGAAATAGTGGGTAGAACCAACAAGATCCTATGGCGTAACCCTAACGAGAGCAGTACGAGAAGCCACCTCAAAATGAGTAGGCCTGAGGATAGTACCTATTCTGAATGGACACTCAGGATTATGGGCACAACTATACAAAATAAGGCATGCGGATTCTGACGAATGTTTAGCATGCAGATAGGACAGTAAAACTCTGGAAGACTTTCTTTGCCATTGTCAGGCTTTCACTGAAGTTAGATCCAAATATCTTGGGATATTATTCCGGATATAACATCCCTCACAAATACTGATTGGAAAATTCTTAGAAATTACTTGAAACTGAGTTTCTGAACACCGGACGATAATACATTCAGTAAATACTTTATAAGATTTTTATTGTTACCAACAGACATTTTTCATGAAAAGGAGCGCACAATAGTCCAATATTCCATTTCATGTAGATACATCTTCCTATCAACCTAACCTTACCTACAGTGTTCAAAGCTTTCGAAATTTTTACTCTGGTTTTTGGGTTAAAATCATAATCAAGTTCAAATTACATGACGATCGGTCCATAATTGACTCATACACACTTTTAAGGCCTTTTAGAAAATTACTCTTAATATATCGTTGAAATAATATTTTATGATTAAATTTGACATGATTAATTTGCTCTCAGAAATGGTTCAGTCTATCAAATTCTGATTAGTTTGGTCCATAATTGATTTAAGCTCAATGTACTAACTAAAATCAGTATGTTGCCCAAAAATCGTATTTGTTATAAATTTGCGGAAATATTTGAGAAAATTGTTTAGGAGCTACATCCATATTAGGTCTTATTCCAAAATTGATGTTTCAAATACAAAAATACGACAAGTGTACTATTTTCGGATAATATTTTATCTAGAATGGGGCAGAACTTTGCAAATTATTGTATTATTGCTATTGTTTACTTATATATTCCACAAACTCTTTTAAATCAACACTTCCATAGCCATGAAGGAAAAAAAAAAAATAAGACTAAAAAAACAAAAACACACCCGCGGTTATTTAAAATTCTGACAAGGACTGGCTGTGCTGTGAATAAAATTAAGAAAAATATTGAAGCTTTGAAGAGCAGCAGAAATAGAAACAATCAAGATTTACAAAATAACTTGTTCCTTTTCCATTATCCACGTTCGTCTTCTTAGTGGTCTTTACGCAGGGATTTGCTTTATTCGCCTTTTTATTAATTTGTACGGGGGAAATCAACTACTATACTACTCTATACACCACCCAACATCAGAACTTTATTGTGCCCATGACAACGTGACAACACTTGTCAAGTGTCAATAGCAATATGTCAACCCAGTTGCATGCTGATCACAACCCACAGCACCTTAAAGCTAAGGAACACCAAAGAGACCAAGAAGAACAGTAAAGTAAAGAAGAAGACGAAGAATTATGAAAATCCGCTAGTGAAGAAATGTTACGGCCAAGAGATTTACAATAAAAGGCATTTTAACCATTCATTCATTTAAATAACGTAATAACGTTTGCCTTTTGGCCAATACCGACCGACTTACAACATTCAACAATGACAAACTGTTGAATGTGTAATAAAAATCAAATAGTCTACTTGATTGTGTAAATATACTCGTCTTATATTCAATGAATTGGCTCCACTTTGGCTCTTTGTCTACCCTCAAGGTTTTTTTTTGCCGCAAGTTTTTGTATATAAATATTTATTTATTTATACCGAAAGAACGTATTACTCTTATTTATACAAATAATTTTTTTTTCATATTTATTATTTTTAAATCCTTGTATGAGTTAAAATCTTAAACGAAAAACTCAAGACAATTTACATGTGTTCCAATTTTTATGTCTGTGGGTCAAATTGTTTGAATAAATTCTTAAATACGGCATCGTATTTATTATGTTCTCATCAGTTTTATGTAAATATAAATCGGAAATATTGATTTTATTATGAATACAAATAAATAAATTTTGCCCGACACTAAATTGTTTACAATAACCATTCCCCTGTCATTATTTATTCATATATTAGAACATATTTTAAATTGTTATTAAAATGTATATGTAAGAAGTTTAAGTACTTCTAGTTTTAGGGGTCGGTCATAAGTAAAGTACATTTAGTACACGTGAATTTCATAGACTAGAATCTGTGATGATAATTGGCCCACAACCCTTAGACTACCATGATATTAACAAATATTAGGGCCCTAAAAAATAACACCGAAGATAAGATCATTGTGGTAAATCGATAGATAGATTGATAGATAGATAGATATATAGATAGATAGATAGATAGATAGATAGATAGATAGATAGATAGATAGATAGATAGATAGATAGATAGATAGATAGATAGATAGATAGATAGATAGATAGATAGATAGATAGATAGATAGATAGATAGATAGATAGATAGATAGATAGATAGATAGATAGATAGATAGATAGATAGATAGATAGATAGATAGATAGATAGATAGATAGATAGATAGATAGATAGATAGATAGATAGATAGATAGATAGATAGATAGATAGATAGATAGATAGATAGATAGATAGATAGATAGATAGATAGATAGATAGATAGATAGATAGATAGATAGATAGATAGATAGATAGATAGATAGATAGATAGATAGATAGATAGATAGATAGATAGATAGATAGATAGAATAGATAGATAGATAGATAGATAGATAGATAGATAGATAGATAGATAGATAGATAGATAGATAGATAGATAGATAGATAGATAGATAGATAGATAGATAGATAGATAGATAGATAGATAGATAGATAGATAGATAGATAGATAGATAGATAGATAGATATATAGATAGATAGATAGATAGATAGATAGATAGATAGATAGATAGATAGATAGATAGATAGATAGATAGATAGATAGATAGATAGATAGATAGATAGATAGATAGATAGATAGATAGATAGATAGATAGATAGATAGATAGATAGATAGATAGATAGATAGATAGATAGATAGATAGATAGATAGATAGATAGATAGATAGATAGATAGATAGATAGATAGATAGATAGATAGATAGATAGATAGATAGATAGATAGATAGATAGATAGATAGATAGATAGATAGATAGATAGATAGATAGATAGATAGATAGATAGATAGATAGATAGATAGATAGATAGATAGATAGATAGATAGATAGATAGATAGATAGATAGATAGATAGATAGATAGATAGATAGATAGATAGATAGATAGATAGATAGATAGATAGATAGATAGATAGATAGATAGATAGATAGATAGATAGATAGATAGATAGATAGATAGATAGATAGATAGATAGATAGATAGATAGATAGATAGATAGATAGATAGATAGTAGGGTGATCGACTCGATTTTTCAACCGGTTTTAAAACCGGTTTTTTCTGCTTTACCAGTGTCGGTTTTTTCTAAATGTTGATTTTTCGAATATCGAATAACCCGGTTTTTTCACTTTTTAAAAACCGGTTTCGAATACTTTTATTTGCTTTGTATTCAAAGATTATTTAAATGAAATTTTGAAGTAAATAATACAGCCCGTTTAAATTTTAAAAATATTCGAGTCCAGGAACTAGGATACATTTTTCTAAAGCACCATTGGTTAAACTTTTTTGATTTTCCTAACTAATTAAAAAATTTTATTTGTAAAATTGATAACTGTTTAATAAAATTTTATTAATCTTAAGATTATATTCCAATTACAATAATTAATTTACCGCTGCAATATTATGGAAGTGTTGGAATGCCTATGAAAATTTCCTAAAAGGGCTTTAGAATAAGCTAGGATTACATAGTACCTTATATTTAACAGAAGTGTCCACTTTTTTCCTATTTTTTTTTTTATATTAAAGAAATAATGTAAATCAAACGACTAGATCTAAAGTTATAATCTGCTAAACTGTTAAAAATCATTTCGGGCCATGTTTTATTAATCAAATTTAAACATAAACATTAATTTCTTCAAATTAACATATATTTTTTATTTATTATGAAAAACCGGTTAACCGGTTTTTTCTGAATTTGAAAAATATCAACCGGTTTTTTTGAAATGTCAACTATTCGAACTATTCGAAAACCGGTTTTT